ATGGAGGCAGTTGGAGTCTTCTCTCAGCAAATCAAGGACTTTAAGATAGATTATTTATAATTATCACCTACAACTTGTCTCCATCTCTATGGAGATTAGAACTGTAAGAAGCTCACCGAAGGCTCAACATAAGTGATATAAATTTGAAAAGAATAAGTAGAAAAGACACAGCTCTGAGGACCTGCTGAAGTCGAATGTAGCCCCGATAAAGGAAGCACAATGAGTATTCAACTAGTAAAAGTGATAGCTACTAAAATGGAAAATGTTAAATAGAAGATAATCCCTGTCTTTCCATAAAATATATTTACATTATTTATATGGTTGTAGACACACATGAATGCATGTAACATAAATATGCATCTCCTTTCTGACCTTTGGAAATAGCTTTTTCTTGACAGAGAATGCCTGCTCAGAGAGAAACCCAGGAGATTTTCCCCAAGTCTGAGCTATGGCTATCATTTGTTAGAATCAGGTTCCTTTGTTTTGATGGCCTTATAAAGAACAGACTTAAAAATGTAAAGGAGGTTTAAAAAAAAGTAGTGAGAACAGAGCATAATGCACAGCCAGACGCAACAGTTAATAGACCAGTTAGTAAAACCCTCCGTCAGACAGGTTAGCATCTTTGCACCAATAATCATATATTTGTTTTTCTTTTTATGTACAGGTGTTTCAGGCCTCTGTGCTCCCAATTAATTCTGTGAGTTCTGACTATCTCTCTGATATGTGCTCTCCAGCTGATCCCTCTTTGCTATTATTGTACATCACTTAAACCAGAGACATTTACTTTGAGATTGAAGGGGGTGGGGAGAGAAAGAGTTTTGCTTGGTAAAATCTTCTAGAAGGTGTAAACTTCCCATCCTTAAGTTCTCAGTATACCAAAATATTTCACCACCTTCACTTCCCACAAGGTGCCTGGAACTGTGGTTATATAAGAGCTAGTAACTTTGAATTCTCCCTTCAGGGCCCAAAAGAGAAGAAATCATTTTGATTCTCCTGAGTGTCATTTGGAAATGCTCCCAAACTGCTTTCCACATTTTGATAAATAATGTCAACCAATTCCCCAATCCAAATAAAGTATAATACTAAGACTTATAGTTGTCCAAATATTGAAACATCAGGAGGTCATTATGCTCCAAGGATCTGATCTACAAATACATCTTTGGGGCTGGTTTTCTTAGGAACAGAGAATAATCCATACAGCCCGGGACAGACATGCTGTATCTGTCAGGTCTAGGGGGCTTTCCTGGGACCATGACTGGACCGTCGGTGTGCTTTCCCAGGGTGGGAGAGAATGGGAAGAGGGTAGTGGTGATGAATAGTAGAAGGGGGACCAATTTATATGAAAACACAGCAACAAGCTTTCTCTTTCCGTATGTGCATAAATTAGAAACTAGCTGAGTGGTACTTCATCCCATGAGATCTATTCTCTGAAGCATGTGTCTACCTCCCATTAGCCTTGTAGGAATGAGGCTTTTGTAATAATAATGAAGCTCAAAGAGGGAGACCTTTGCTACCTAATCCATAGGGGTATATTCTTCTCTTGATAAACCTATAATTCCTATCACAGCTAATGGGAGTTCTAAACTGACATCAAAAAAGCTGTCTGTCCCATTGAAAAAGGTAAAGGTCTCTCCTTGCAAGGCTCATTATCATTCAAACCAATCATTTCTCTCCTGCTTCTCTCTCAAAGGATGTGCCTCTCCCTCGAGGTACTTGTAGGAAGGGAGAGCCTTGGAAATTACCCATCTGGTAAATAGAACAGATTTCAATGCAGTTTACTCTATAATTCTTAGTCTGTTTGACTGAAAAGCTTTGAAACTCAGAAAAGACATTATTCTTTCAACAAAATGGGTTCACATTTACTCACAGAGCATATGTTCTGCAAATGTGATATAGTGAAGGTTATTCTGAAATCATAAAAGTTCATGAATTCTTTAGTTCTAATGAATGAAATCAGACAAGCTATTCAGATCTCTCTCTGCATAGTGTAGCCCTTTTCTTTTTTTTCCTACATAGAATTTTTAAAGCTATTAAGAGAATGGAAGTAGGGAGTAGGAAACGAAACTGGTATGAAAAACATTCTTTTTTAAAACAATGTTTTTTCAGCGTTTTCATTTCTTGGCTGTAGCATTTATTCTTATGCTTTATGGAATGATAGCTTACACTGTTGAATGGGCCATTTGATCTCTCCTTCGAGATGATGTCCTGCTCATAAACATGAGCTATGTATGCTATGCATTTTGCAACCCCCACCCCAGATTTTGCACCTCCTTCACACAGTGTTCAGTAAACCAAATGGACTGTGGTGGTTTGTATTGTATCAACAAGGCTCAGCAGACTCTTCAGCATATGTTTCCTTGTTTGTGGTATAAAAGAGAAAGTCACATTAAATTTGCAAGGTGAAAGGAAAGTAGCATTCCCCTCATTCTGTAAGTTCGCAGGCTGGAAGGCAGTCTGAGAGCCTGACAGAGCTGTGGGCAATTCCAGTTTGTCCTCCCTCTCCCTCTGAACATGTGGTGACCCTCACATACTCCAGCAGATGCAGAGGCAACAGCCTTCCTCTGAATGTGGAAGTGGACCTTTTCACAAGCCTCCCTCATGGCCCCACCCCAGAATCTGGACCTGCCTGGCTTCCTCGATTCCTTAGCAAAAGGAATCTAGGTAAAGCCTCTTTACACCAATGCTTCAGAGCAGATGCACAGTAACCCTCCTATTTGCCCAGCTTCTCCACATTTGTGTCCAGCCTTATTCTTAGAATAAATCTCTTCTATGATAATAGGAGGTTGGCTTCCCTGATTGAATCTTGACACATAGGCTTGTATATATTAGTATAAAATGTGAGACTTCTAGCATTCCTTTGGAAAATAAAATTTCTGAAGCATCATAAGGTTTTAGGTACAGCAAAAACCTGGTTGACTCTGGAAATAATGCTACTTCATTCAGTTGACATTGATGTAATTGAACCAAAGGGTAACTTTGTGAAAGAAGGGCATACCGTGTAAATTTACAGTAAAACAAGATCTTGGAATAGTTTCCAAACTGAGAGGAAAAATTACTTTCTCCCCTTATGCTGTTCATAATATATAGAAAAGTCTTTAGTATTAAAAAAAGGATAATTTCACCTTAAAGTTACTTATTTAGATAACTTAAAACAAATACTTAAGAATGATACAATGTCACTTAAATATGTTTCCTAATTCTGTTAGTCTCTTCCATATTTGAATTAATGAATATATCGTATATTCTATTTTGTAAGAAGGGGAAAATACAAAAAAAGTATTCTGGCCATCCTCTAAATTACTATCCTGCCAAGGCTATGTTATGCTTTTTATAACTCAAATTATGCATTTATAATATTGGGATATATTCTTTGTTCTATAATAAGAGCAAAATGTTTCGAGAAAAATCCAAGTTGTAGTGTGGAACAGAAATTAAAGTTATCTAAGTTCTAAATAGTTCTAATAGTTATTTTTAGGCCTCATTAGATGGCATTGGTGATGTTTTACATTGAGGAGTATTATTCTAATTCTCAAATAAGTATTTGGCTCTAGTCATAATAAATCATAATAAATCCATGTGGTTCCATAGTCATAAATTTGTTCTAAATTCTTCAGTCTCAAATTTCATGGCTTGAATTTGACAAATTTTATAGACTTAACCATAACTCTGTTTTTATATCCTATAAGGCCCCAAGTTTCTACCCTAATATTAGCAGACTTCCATTGGCCTTGTTTCACCTGTAACAATGAAGTGTGTTTCCACTTCACCTTAGGAATGAGGAAAACATTTATAGGAATACATTGGTGTTTTACCATGTGTCCCAAGCCATCTGCAAGTCCTATAAAAGCCTTATGTTCACTACATGGTTCTTTTTATTTTTGAAGATCTAAACAAACTATAAAGTAATATTTTCAGTCTGGAATTAAAGCAGATATATAGGGAATGCTACCTGATTCAACTACCCGGTGGGGTAGGTATAAATCTTCTCAAGTTTTATTCAAGAGCAGAAACATTTCTTACCCTTAGCTGTACATGCTTAGGGTGCTACCAGAAAATAATAAAATATTGACTGAAAGGTAGCACTGAGAGTTCAAACCAGAGATGGGTGTCTAAATGGATTGTTACAACAGAGAACTGAAGAGAGCAGCAGCTGAGAGCAGGGGTAGAAGCTAAGAGATGGGAGAGCCAAGAAGGTCTAAAGTAGGTAGTGTCTGATGCTAGTAGAAAAATGGGGTGGAGGGGCGCCTGGGTGGCTCAGTCGTTGGGTGTCTGCCTTCGGCTCAGGTCATGATCCCAGGGTCCTGGGATCGAGCCCCGCATCGGGCTCCCTGCTCGGCGGGAAGCCTGCTTCTCCCTCTCCCACTCCCCCTGCTTGTGTTCCCCTCTATCGCTGTGTCTCTCTCTATCAAATAAATAAAATCTTTAAAAAAAAGAAAAGAAAAAAATAGGATGGAAAAGCTGGAAGACTCCCAGACAGGTTGCTGTGCCTGATGCTGAACTTTTATACTCTGTCAGTGACAGTGTTTGTGTGAGAGGGATGGACCCATTTAAAAGCATAACTAAAAGAAAGACAAGAGTAGCTTTGGATTATTCTGAAGTCCACTCGCTGTCATTGATCGAGGGGTCACTGATTTAGATACAACTTTGTCCAACAAAGTTCTGCCCCACCTCCCCAGGTTTTAAAACTTTTTATTTGCATATTAAAAACTTGTGCATTCCAGTAATTAAAATCATTTGAGGAAAAAAAAAAAAGGCACTCTAACTGCACTGCATTTGACAGCCTGCAGGACACCTGGGACCGGCTTGCGTTTTACTCTCGATTTCACGGTCATCCCACCCAGCTTCTTCCTTCACCAACATGCAAGTTCTTCTCCTTCCCTGCCAGCCAGACAGGCAGTTGGGAGAGGCAGGCATGGCCTTCCTGGTCGGTTCTCCATTATTTGATGTACAAAGGGATAACAGTCATTTAAACTTGATCCAACTCTTTGCATCTTACAAAGTTAAACAGCTAAAGGAAGTAAAGTGAGAAAGCAATGCTGAATGGAATTGTGCATATTGGTGGCGCCTCCTTGGGATTCCTCTGTTTGCTTCTCCTGTGCCGTCGTCTCTCTTGAAGGCAGTGAATTTTTCTCTTGCATTTCTGTCTTCTTTAATTTTGACTTACCGAATTTCTCAATCTCAGGCATACGGGGTTTGTCAAACATGGTTGCAGAGGAAGCCAAGCGAGGTGTGGAAGCTGGGAAGGTCTGGTCTTTACAGTGGCCACCGTTGAGTGCCTCCAGCAAAGTTTTAATTTATTTTTACTTATCCCCAATCTTCTGAAAGAAATATTGAGCACTAGTATTCCAATTTTGGGTGTGCAATCTACTAAGCATGACCTTGACCTAGCTGTCATGGTTTTTGACTTTGCCTTATGAGTTTTCTGGCTCCCAGTTCAGGGTGTGAGATGGAGAATTCTCTGCCCTTGCTTTGGAATCAGACCTTACTGTGGCCACAGCAGATAAGGATTGACAGACCTTACAATGGCCTTGAATCTGTTTCCAGTCCCTCAGCCTGGTGATCCTGATATGCAAAGCTCTGGCTGGGGATTCTAGAAGGTCCGCCAGAGTACTCTATAGCCCATGTAAAGTTGACTCTATGATTCTGCTTAATAATGTAATTTAACTGTATTTTGGAAAATAGAATTACTTCTCAAAACAAACAGGGATAAGCACCCATCAGTGATTAACTGACATGCTTATCACAGAATGAGGATGTGTGTTCCCCACGTGCCTCCTGAGTCTAATGTTGAGAGCACAGTTATACAAAGGTGTTGACGCTCATCTGGCATCAATAATACAAAGGATGGGGAAGAAAAGGGAAAGGAGGTGTCAGGCTAATAAGAAAGAACTCAAAGGGAGACTGAGCCCAACAAAGAAAATGGGAAAAGCAGGAGGAAGTACATTATCTCTGTTCAGAAAGTCAATATTTATACTAAAGGTCTAATCCCAGTTCAGTAATTTTTCAACTTTGACAACCAAAGTAGGTAATTAAGGCCCAAAGTAGGAAAACACACGCCCGATTGTCATTAACCAGTTTTTGCCTGAATTTTCTAGACCTTTACCTTACTTTTCCACTCAATCTTGTATGGTCTGTCCTGGGAGAGAAATAGCAAGAGAGAAAAAATCCACTATTCCCTGGGGACTTTGTGTCTAACTAGTGGAAAGACAATGGCAAAATGAGAGGGAAAACAAGAAGGAAATAGTGCAGCAAACTTGTGCCATGAAAACACACACACACATCATTTAATTCTTAGCAGAGAAAACCTTGGGAATTTACTTGTGGGTATTCTTGTGTGTGTGTGTGTGTGTATTCTTTTAATGGGATACCAGTCAAGGATAAAAATGATACTGAAGTTCCCTAAAAAGTGCATACATAGATACACTAAAGTTGAGCAAAGACTGTAAACACTGAAAAAATAATTTCTTGATGAGATTTGGGGGTAACTTCTTAGACTAACTGTGGCTACACATTAACACAGCAACAAAGGGAACCCAGAATGTCTCCGAGCCCAATGTGAGGGAAAGGTAAGGGAAAAAGATGAAATACCCAGTCTGTGATTAAGGACAGCTCTGTGTGAGTAAAGTATTGTTTCTGTAAAGTTTTTACGGACGTAAAGAAAATGTTTGCAAAACATCAAAGAAGAGCAAGGAAATCTCATCATCCGTGATCTAAAGTCTATGCATTTTCAACTTTGGCAAAATTGGAGGATCTCCTTACCCCAGTAAGGACCCTACAAAGCTGCTAATATCATCTGAGAGTAAATAGATGAGGGAAGAAGAATCAAGGGACAGTAGGTCAATGGAGTTGGAAGACCTGCAATTATTTGCAACTTCTATTGATACACAGCAGCTGTATTTGACATACATGGGCACACTTAACATAATAAAACAACAATAATCATGCTACATACATACAAAATTGTCTGTTTATCCTTTGTTGAGATTTTCTTTGTGCATAACGTTTTCACTGACTTTATTTGAGCCTGTGAGAAGAATCAAATTATGCTTATTAAAAATATGTGTATTTCTGGAGGGATATGCATTCCTATAACCTTCATTATGATGCTCTTAATTAACCAATATGCCTCATAATAAAGTATCTAGCTGTCACCAAAATCAACACTTTTCAGTTATTAATAGATTAAGGAAAGAATGTTAATTTCTTCAAGCTCCATTTCATTTGGTCTCATTACTTCAGGAGCCAGATGGTTACAGGGCTGGACCTGTCAACAGTTACTGTGAGGAAGAATACATTCAGAAACACCAAACTGAAGTATGAATAACAGCTGAAAAATGAATTTTGAGATAGTTGTGCACAATGCAGAAGGCAGGGCAGAAAGTTATTCTGCTGAGAAATAGAGAAAATTATGAATCAGGCACATTTTAATTGACGGGGTTTCCCCCACACACACCGAACACCCTCTCCTTTCCTCCCCCGACCCCATTAAATTGTCTCCCCCCCCAATAATAGCCACCAGCTCCAGCTGTGCTGTGGAGCAGCCTTCCATTTTTCAGGTGTCTGACGATTTCTCTCGTCCCTCATGCTGCTGGGATTTGACAGTTCTCCTACACTGTTGGTTGATTGATGATGTCAACTTGGAAGAGACAGTTCCACCAGCAGCCAATATTTTCAAGATGTTTTCTTCTTTGATTTAAAAAATTCTTTCTGAGTGCTTCCAAAGGAAGCCACCCTGAAGGTCACCTCCAGCTCAGCTCCTCAGTCTGCTCTGTGGCTGACTTTGTTGAGGGAGGTAAAATGAAGGAGGTAGTTGCTCAGTCTATGGCCCCCATTGGGTGAACCAATTTCTAGGTTTCCGACAACTTTCAGGCTCCATCATGCTGTAATTCAGCTGAGTGATGGTCACTGTTCAAAATTAAGAGACAGGATGTTGGAGTCTGAGACCACATTTTTGGTGAAATTTCTGTGCTTTCGAGCAAGTCATTTGCTCAGAGTATACCACAGCCTCTGTTACGGGCCAAAGAGGATCAATATTTCCTGTTTGTAAAATATTTTGTGATGTGAAAGTGTGAAGTGTCACACAGCTTGCATATCCATGCCACAGTAACTCACGTGGTACTGTTTTGTATTTCTAGTCATTCTTAACCACAGATGTGTCCCAGCACCTGCCCCCTGGTGGACCTGAAGCAATTTGCAACCTGCTCTTTTTTTTTTCCAAGGGCAATTCAAGTTGCACAGATTTGCTGATTGCTGGTGATTAGTACTTATAAGGCTTGAAACTGAAAATTTTAGCCTTATAAAGCTTGAAGGAATCTTAGAGATTTCTTGTCCAAAACTTTCACTTTACACAAGCAAACTGAGAAACGACAAAGGTTTGAAAGACCTGTGTAAGGTCCTAGATGACATTTAACCAGCTTCAGACTGAAAAAGTAAAGAAGCAAAAGAGAACTCAGAGCTGACCCCAGGCTATGAATCTTATTAAATTAAAACAGTTACATCCTGAAATTCACTTGTCCATGCTTTTATTGATTATTTGTTATTTATTTATTGAGAACCTGTTGTGTCCCAGGTGCTATTGATAGGCATTTGGGGATACCTGATGAACAAGCATATCATCCAGTGGTTATTTTCAACAATCTTTTCAACTTCTACAGAAAAATTAACTTCAGAAAATTAACTTACCCTCAAGCAATTGTTTCATTCTTAATGACAACTAAAATAAAGGGTGCTTAATTAAAAATAAAAGTATATTACCTTCAGGATACATTTTCTTCCATACAATGAAAAAAATTCTGTGATTCTTTTATCCAGGCTGGTGATCTGAACTTTAAAAGGGGTGAGAATTTAGTTGAACTGTCTAAAGGAAAGAAATTCTGGTAGATCTGAAGAGGAACATTTACTGTCCATGAGCTACTCAACGCTTCTCTCTGAAAGCACCAGGCTCTTCAATCAGCTCTGTCTTGAAAGTTTCTCTCCTCCTCCCCAAATTGATTGGAACCAATATTCTGAGAAAATACAAAGGTGTGAGCAGAGGATGGTTGGTTCTAAATGAGCGGTAGGCAAACTTGATACAAAAATAACCTTCAGAAAAAGGAAACTGTCAATGGGACACATTATTTTTCTCCCAGAATTCAAAATGATTACAGGTATATTGAGTACCATGGAAAAGTAAGTTATAGGCTTCCAGGTGAAAATGATCTGCAAAACTAAGTAGAACAATGCCAAAATGAAACTTGACACAATTCTAGGCATTAAAATTCACCATATAGCCAACAATTATGACACAAGAGAGTCCTCTTTCTACTCTTTCATCTGGGCTAACTGTATTTATCCTGAGAACTCTAGTGGCTCATCATTGGTGTAGACACTGGCAGTTAGACTTGTTTGGGTAAACAAGGCAAGCAGGCAGGTCAGGCCCTGGAAATGTTTATTTGGATAAGAATTGAGTAGCCTCTTGGGGAGAGATCCCATCCTAATGGCGGAGCGAGACTTGCATATTAAGTTTGGTTCTATACAGTGTCTCAGCCATTGGAGGTCAGGATAAATCTTAATGTAGTACATCGTTTGTCACTGGTATTTTCCCAAGCCAATTCATCCACCTCTGTGTCCTTGAGACCTGGAAAGGGGAGAATAAATAGAATACACTGAATAAACTGTTTTCTCACAAGCTTGTTGCAGTCATTGGAAGTCCAAAGCATCTCAGATTACAATGAAAGTGAGGCATTCTCTTCCTTGGGGCATCGGGTATTTGACACACATTGGGCTCTAGCCCATGATTCCAACAACTCCAGTTATAATGAGACCTGGGGTCTGGCTTGGTTTTTGTTTGTTTGTTTCGTGGTTTGCTGACATTATCCATCACTCATAGCCTCAGCAGCAGCCAGAGGCAGTGCCTGGTGGTGCCGGAGGCTGGAACAAGGGATGACATTGTTTTAGATGTTCCTTGGCAGGGACCTCCAGCAAGAGCAAGAGCAAGGGCTCAGGTGCCAGATCACCAAAGAGGATCAGAGAAGGAGGGAAAGAGAGTGGTAGGCACCTCTTGCTAGCTCAAAGGATTTGTTTGTGAGTACACAATAACAGATCCCTAGGGGTTTCTGCAAATAGCTGGAGGAAGGAGGTAGAAACTTTGAAGGGAATAAAAGGTGTTCAGAGGTTTCACAGTTGGAGAACTAAAGCCCAGGAAATACTGTTAAGTGGCCCCACTTTACACTTAGAA